TGATGATGATGATGATGATGCTGATGTTGTTGTTGATGATGATGATGATGATGATGATGATGATGATGATGATGATGATGATGATGATGACGCACCAATGATGATGATGCTCATGATGATGATGATGATGATGATGATGATGACGCACCAATGAAGATGCTCATAAAGATGATGATGATGTCAGTAAAGCTGCTGCTGCTGCTGATGATGATGATGATGCTAATGATGATGATAATGACGATGATGCTGATGATGATAATGATGATGATGAGATGATGATGCTGATGCTGCTGATGATGAAGATGAAGATGATAACGATGATGATGACAACCGCCGATGATGATGATGATGATGATGATGATGATGACGGCGATGATAAGACCGAAACTGGTGATGAAGATGCCCTCTTACGAGCTGATGATAAAGCTGTCTCTGACGAACATGCTGATGAAGAAGCCCGCTTACTAACTGATGTTGTCCCGATAAGATGACGCATAACATTTCTTCAAAAAAAACGCACTGGATACGAGCTGAGAACCTGAATATCACTTCCCTCCTTATCTCCCTCCATTCGTCCTCCCATCTCATGGGACACACAGTACTCTCCTCCCTCTTGCAGCGAGCCGACCTCCTCCACCAAAATATGCAAGATGAAGAACACCAATGATTCTTCCTGAAGCAAGCCTCGTAAGAAAAACTTGCTCCCCCTTACACGGCATGCTAGCCCGTAGCGTTCCTCGTGATAGGCACAAGACGGCGGGATGGCACTACGAATGCTTTCAAATGTTAGGAGATAGAGAGGTGAAGTATTCACCCCCTCAATCATCTCACAGCTTCGCCCAGCATCGCCCGACACACTCAAATTTCATGGCGCGCCCTAAATCTTCGATATCTCATGATCCACTGGACCATTTGATCTGAAATTTGGAACCCCTCAGCTCCTCGACATAGACCACCGGTGGTCCAATTTACAGCTCAGGGCGCGCGCCCAATCGCGCGCAATCGTCGAGCGCGCGCACGCTATTTTCCTTGATGCGTGCAGTTTTGCACCTTGGCTATGGAGGAAGAAATTGAAAGGACACCTTCAAGTTGGCTGTGAAGGGCTTTTCACACTCGTTGTTGTTTTGGTTGATATTTCCCTTGTACAGCTGAGATGGTGCCCAAGGCCTGATTGCAAGAGAGCAGTGTATATAAAGAGTGATTTGGCTTCAAGCAGTCCTATGCGGGTGAACTCTACTTCACGATTCACCGGTTGTTTGAATGCATTTTGTCGAGGAAAAGGACCCGGTGCACCAGGCGGAGGTATGCAAGTGAGTCATGGACGGGATGTGAGGTGCAGTTGTGGCCTTATGTTCTGCTGGAACTGCAATGGGACAGCACACGAGCCTGCCACATGCGATCAGGTGAGCCATGTTTCTCCTCCTTATAGCTTTGCTGGGCAGCTGGAGTGAGCAAGCACCCAATCATCACCTACTTTTTTGCACCCTCTTCATAATACACATTCTCTATAAGACTTCTTCAGTTACTGTCATGATTTGCAGCCATCCCTATTTACTCTACTCCATTTGCCTGACCATAGCTTCGCTAGCGAGAGCAAGCATCCAAATCACCCCTAACTTTCTTCTCTGGGGTAACTTCAGTAGAGTAAAAAAAACGAGTTATAATTGCACTATGGGGCAAGATACAGTTTGCAATTGCACTTTGGGGACCCTACCAGGGCCTACCTGGCCAGAAATCGGTTGACGTATACGTTGCCGGAACTGCAGTTTGAAACTGTATCCTGGCCCATAGTGCAATTATAACTCATTTTTGTGACTCAGAGGGCTAATTGCAGAAATAGGTCGTTTTCGAAGTTCTGCGGCAGAAATGTTGAACGGGTCCGAAAGATGTATTTTTGCAAGGAAAGTGGGACCCCGCCTGCAAATATTTTTGCTGTGAAACTACCGGGACCTCTAAAGCTACAACGAAAGATATATTTTTGCAACGAAACTTGGGCCCCACCAAAATTTTTGCTGTGAAACTACCGCGATGCACTATTTTTGAAACTTACCCTTTTTGTGACTCCCGCGTAGCTTCCCCTTCTTTTCTTTGTTTGCACCCGCTTTCTAATCCGGTGGTATATGGTCTCTTCTACTCCAGTCATTTATTTCATCCATCTCCTGTGCTCGTCACATTCCCCTTCCCCTTCCCCT